ACCCACTAGCTCAGGTGTATGTGGCTGGCGCCTTAGCTGTTTGAGCCACAGGTGCCAAGCCCAAATACGTAAGTCTTAAAAACTGAGAACAGAAAACTGTTGTTTTAACTAGAGATTTCCTTTTCATTATAACCGACTTAATCACATACAAAATTCTTTCTAAGTTCCTCTTCATGAACCTTTATGACTTGCACGGACAATCTTTCAACATTTTTAAAATCCCTCGTTTTTGTCTTAAATCAGGTATCCTCAAACTAAGGCCGGGGCCACATGCGGCCCACCAAGGACATTTATCCAGCCTGCCGGGTGTTTTTCCTCTGCTGCCTGTCCTGCTTAGCAGCCCCACAGTCTTGCCCTCCAGCGGTCTGAGGGACAGTGAACTGGCCCCCTGTTTAAAAAGTTTGAGGACCCCTGTCTTAAATTGTCTTTCTTAAACCACTAGTTACTTTCGGACAAAAGTTTTTCACACAAGATTCCTTCCTATATAAAATTATTCTCTTTTCTTTTATCTTTCCTTACTAAATCTTCATACCCATATCTTTCCACATATCTCTCTCCCCTACTTACTGGTTCCTTTCATTTTAATGTCAGGGTCACCAGGGAGTAGACATGTAGGAGGCAGGCAAGCTGAATTCCTCATGGGCCTTCCAACTCTGGGTAAACTGACCATCAAGTGAATGTTTATGTGGGAATTCAGCAGTACAGGCGGGCTAATTTAGGAAAGTTAAGATAGCTCCAAGGGACAAAACTTGTTTCCCCCCCTTTCTTCTCCCTGTATACATTATCTGGCCATTTCAGATGTTTTATTACCCTATGTCCCTGTTTACCTTTTACCCAACCTTCCTGGGAGTTATAATCTCCCCTCTCTCATTTTTCTTTTTTGAGACAGAGTCTCACTTTGGTGCCCTCTGTAGAGTGCGCAGGTGTCATAGCTCACAGCAACCTCAAACTCTTGGGCTTAAGTGATTCGCTTGCCTCAGCCTCCCAAGTAGCTGAGACTACAGGTGCCTGCCCGAAACCTGGCTGTTTTTTTTTTTTTTTAGAGATGGGGTCTCTCACTCTTGCTCAGGCTGGTCTTGAACTCGTTAGCTCAAGCAATCCATCTGCCTCGGTGTCTCAGAGTGCTAGGATTACAGGCGTGAGCCACCATGCCTGGCCCCTCTCTCATGTTTATTTTTGTTTATTTATTTTTGGAGACAGAGTCTCACTTTGTCACCCTTGGTAGAGTGTCATGGCATCTTAGCTCACAGCAACCTCAAACTCTTGGGTTCAAGTGATCCTCTTGCCTCTGCCTCCCAAGTAACTGGGATTACAGGTGCAGTCACAACGCCTGGCTATTTTTTAGAGACGGGGGTCTCTCTTTGGCTCAGACTGGTCTTGAACCTGGGAGTTCAGGTATTCCACCTGCCTCAGACTCCCAAGTGCTGGGTTTATAGGTGTGAGCCCCTGTACCTAGCCTTCCTCTCTCATTTTCAGCCTTGACTGCTAACTACTGACTGCTGTGCATTCTTGCCACATATACTCTGTTATAGTACCCAATGTCACAATCCCTATGGCCCTGGTCTCCGACGCCACAGGAAGGAAACAGGCGTGAGGGAGATTAGAAGTACAAGCTTGCAGGAAGCAGGCTAACCTTGATTGCAGGGTAGCCCTGAGCAACCTCCACAGTAGCCTTTTATTGAGATGGTACATGACAGGTGAGGGGAGTATTAGACAATGACTGCATGCCTAAGGATCACCACAGGCTCCAACTCTTTCTTAGCAAGGAACATCCGTGGATGAATTGCCCAAGGGTTGCCCCCCAGCCACAAATCATCTTGTTCATATGTGTTCACCTCTTGGTGTCCTCTACAACCCAATAAAAAGACTCCCCAGAAGCAGGGCAGGTTGCTGCATTGTTTTCAGGCTGCTGCTTAGTGCTTGAAACAATGATAACTTTGTGCTATCAGATTGGTATAAAGTCTTAAGATTTCTCCAGTGCTGTCTTCCTTACTGACCACTATCCCAGGTTGGGGTGCACAGATCCCCAACACCTCCCTACCTTGCCATCCAGAGGTTATTAGCTAGCTTTACCTGGGCCTTGTGCCTCTGGGACTTGGGTTTCATCACCCATTTCCACTCTGACAGTTCTTTGCTTCTAGCACTATTGAAGACATATATTTGCATCTTGTTTTTTTTTTTTTTAGACTGGGGGACTCAGCCTGATGTGAAAGAGTCACACCCAAAGGATGACATTTCAGAACACCGACCATCCTTCTGGGCAGCCATGGGAGAACCAGCAAGGACTGGAGCCTGGGGTCCCACCTCAGGAGCAGCATGGAGACAAGGCAGCTGGCTAGAGGAGCAGCACAGAGGTGCCAGGATGGGATGGGAGGGGCTGGGAATTCCCCAGGTGAGCAAACTCCTTGGGGAGTCAGTCTCCGAGGGCCAAGAATTGAAGATGTTTGCCAACCAGAGCTCTACCCCAGTCCAGCCGAGGCCAGATGAACCCACAGAAAAGGGGCCCTGTCCATTTGCAAGGCCTGGGAAGAACCGCAGCGCTTCAGACCTCAGTAAGGCCCCAGCCCCCTGCAGGGAGAAGAAACCCTACGACTGCAGTGAGTGTGGCAAGGCCTTCAGCCGCAGCTCTTCCCTGATCAAACACCAAAGGATTCACACGGGAGAGAAGCCCTTCAAGTGTGACACCTGCGGGAAGCACTTCATCGAGCGCTCGTCCCTCACCATCCACCAACGGGTGCACACGGGCGAGAAGCCCTATGCATGCGGAGACTGTGGCAAGGCCTTCAGCCAGCGCATGAATCTCACAGTGCACCAGCGCACACACACGGGTGAGAAGCCCTATGCTTGCGACATTTGCGGGAAGGCCTTCCGGAAGACCTCGTCCCTCACGCAACATGAGCGCGTCCACACAGGTGAGAAGCCCTACACGTGTGGGGACTGCGGCAAGGCCTTCAGCCAAAACATGCACCTGATCGTGCACCAGCGTACACACACCGGGGAGAAGCCCTATGCGTGCCCCGAGTGTGGGCGGGCCTTCAGCCAGAACATGCACCTGACCGAGCACCAGCGCACGCACACAGGGGAGAAGCCCTATGCATGCAGGGACTGCGGCAAGGCCTTCAACAAGAGCTCCTCCCTGACCCTACATCAGCGCAACCACACGGGCGAGAAGCCATATGTGTGCGACGCATGTGGCAAGGCCTTCAGCCAGAGTTCCTACCTCATTCAGCACCAGCGCTTCCACATCGGTGTGAAGCCCTTTGAGTGCAGCGCGTGTGGCAAAGCCTTTAGCAAGAACTCAGCACTCACACAGCACCGGCGCATCCACACCGGTGAGAAGCCATATGAGTGCTATGTGTGCAAGAAGCACTTCACAGGGCGCTCGTCACTCCTCGTGCACCAGATCGTGCACACTGGGGAGAAGCCTTACACATGCAGTGAGTGTGGCAAGGCCTTCGGCCAGAGCGCATACCTAATTGAGCATCAGCGCATCCACACCGGTGAGAAGCCCTACCGCTGCGGCCAGTGTGGCAAGGCCTTCATCAAGAACTCTTCACTGACCGTGCACCAGCGCATCCACACTGGCGAGAAGCCATACCGCTGCGGCAAGTGCGGGAAGACCTTCAGCCGCAACACCAACCTGACGCGGCACCTGAGGATCCACACCTGAGCGCCTCTGCAGGCAGGATACGGCCAGGTCTCCCCATGGAGTACAAGGCAGCTCAGGACAGAGGTGGCATGGGAATGTGGGGTTTATAGAGAGGCTTCTGTATCACACGTGCCCCCCTCCACCAAGCAGCAGAATGACCCCCCATCCCAGTGTCTCCTCTCCTTTGGGATGTTTTCAAGTTCACTGTCATCGAACCCAAGTCACTGGTCAGGGCTCAGGCCCAGCTCTCCAAGTAAGTTGTTCTAGGAACTGGGACTGTGGGGCTTGGTTTCCTCTGTGGTGAAGTGGGGGGCAGAGGTGCAGGAGGTAGACTCAGATGGACACGTTTGTCATTTGCCCGGGAGCCTAGAAATAGTTTGTTACCATCTGTGAGGGGTTTTTTTTGGGGGGGGGGAATAAGGGTTAAGGGGTATCCTGTCCTGTCCCAGTCTCCCAACACCAGGCTAGCAAGTGGTAGAAGTTTACAAGTTGTATGTGAGGGGGAGAGAAGTTTTTTCAGTTAGCAAATTACAATAACTACTGCTTCAAATGCCAAAGTTTCTTAAAGCTGTCTGTTACTTTTTAAAGTCTTTTAGGTGTGAAAGATATAGATTCTAGTTGTTCAGTCAAAACTCAATTCTACTACTGTGGGGGGAGGTGGGCAGGAAGGAAAACAAAGAATAGGTTTGATATTCGGGTGTAATACTGGTTTCCATAAATAGTCTGCCCTTTTATAGTTACCTTTTTTGTTAAACGTGCAGGTAACTATCTTTGTCCATTACTGCAGCTTTAACAAAAGATCTTAGACTGGGTAATTTGTAAACAATACAAATTTATTGCTTACAGTTCTGGAGGCTTGAAAGTTCAAGATGAAAGCTGCAAATTTGGTGTCTCGTGTCATCTTTATCTGTGTCCTCAGGTGGTGGAGATGGGAAGCAGCTGTTCTCAGACCTTTTAGAAGGGCACTAATCACCTCCTAAAGGTCTCACCCACCTTTCTTTATTGTTACATTGGGGATTAAATTTCAAAACATGCAAATCTGGAGGAACACTGACATTCATACTGTATCAGTAATTTCAAGTGAGTTTCTTAAGGCTGATGTGAAGCTTTGTTTACAATGGAGTTTATCCCAAAGTCAACTTTCTCTGGGCCATCTTTTTAATTTAGATATTTGATAGTGCTGGTTGCTAACACCCTGTCATTTCCATTTATTCTACACTTTATGACACTGATGTACTTGAAGAATAAATAATTTGGTTTATTAGTAAGCACATTTTGCAAGTAGGAAAAACAATCACTCTAGAATGTATAAACAATGCAAATCTTTTGTCAAATGTATGGTAGTTAAGTAGGCATCAGGATGGGTTTAATCTAGGTATTTGTATATACATTCATCATTGGAGCCCCATTGTGATTCTCTGGCTCTCACTTTATGTGCTGGCATCATCCACAGGCTGGCTTCCCTGTGGGATGACAGCAGTTTCCAGCAGCTACTTGACTGCACATCTCAGTCACATTCAGATGGAGAGAGAAGTCCTCTTGCAGTCACTGAAAAAGACTCACCCATGAACCAATTGCTGTGACCAGAGAAATGACTGAGATCTGGGTCTTACTGCTGTCTCTCAGTTACCAGCTCCTAATGCAGTCTTTCTCATGAGATTCCCTGGAACAGTGGTCCTCAAACTTTTTAAACAGGGGGCCAGTTCACTGTCCCTCAGACCATTGGAGGGCTGGACTGAGGGCCCAGGGACAAGTCAGCTGCTAAGCAGGACAGGCAGCAGGGGCAAAAACACCCAGCAGGCTGGATAAATGTCCAAGGCGGGCCACATGTGGCCCGTGGGCCATAATTTGAGGACGCCTGCCCTGGAGTGAAATGAATACTATTTTTATAATTTTAAATAAATTACTGAAATCATCAAAATAAGTTAACACTTGTAAAAAAAAATCAGAACAGCCTGGCACAAAGTAAGTACTCCATCTCAGTGAGTGTGTGCTATTCCTACTCCAGTAAGAAATAATGCCCTCATTTTAAAAATAAAGGGGAAAAAAGGAGGATAATGTAGCCAGTAAGAGTAGAGAGTCTAAAGCCTGGATTCAAATCCAAACTGTGACCTTACTTGCTAGGTGACTTTGGGCAAGTTTCTTAACATCTCTGAACCCCTATTTCTTCATTTGTAAAATGAGAGTAATACTAGTTCTCACTTTGTGCACTGTTTGTGAAGAATAAATGAGATAATGTGTGCATTGTAGAGAACAGGTGTTAACCTAGGCAACAATTGACAAATATAGTTCACAGTTCTTTGCTGGTGAAATGGAGGGAGAAAGGCCTTCTTAGGCCCTTTGGAGAGATGTCTACTGATGGCTTGCTATGCGCCACATTCCTTCATACATAGTGGCTCCTTTAACCTTCAAAAGATCCTTGAAGTAAGCCTATTCTGTTGTACAGATAAGTAGTCTGCGGCTCAGAGAAGCAAGGTAAACTTCCTGAGGTCACACAGCATGTAAGTGGAGGAGACAGGGTTTGAACTTGGGCCCATCTGCACAGCTAGGTCTATAACCATCCCTGCACTAAACTAATTCTCCTGCAGATGGATATGTTGAATTTCCCAGTGCTTAACTCCTGGGCCTTTGCTTCCTGGAATCCCCAATGTCTGATACAGACAGGGTCAAGGATACACCACCACACACATTCACCAGGAAGCCATTCAGGTTATGTGCTGGTCTATAGGCTCACCCTATGGGCTCTGGGCCATGTGTCTATGTCCCTATGTCCTCAGGCCTGGCCATGAAGTAGAGGCTATGGGTGCTGGGTGGGGGACTGAATGACCCCTCTCCTGGGGTAGTAGGAGTCCATGCCACCCCACTCAAGGGCAGCCCTCCATGGCCATATCACTCAGAGTAAACACCAGATTCCTCACAAAGCACTGTGGAATCTGGCCACTCCTACCTCCTGGACTTGCCTCCTCCCCATTGCCACCTTCAACACTCTGTTCTGCCTAATTTTTCTATTTTTAGTAGAGACAGAGTCTTATTCCTGCTCAGGCTGGTCTTGAATTCTTGAGCTCAAGGGATCCTCTCCTCCTTCTACCTCCCAGAGTGCTGGGATTACAGGTGTGAACCACTATGTCTGGCTGGACCTTGGCTTCCTGGAATCCTCAACTATGTCACCTGGCACTCTACCCAGAGTGACAGAGTAAGTAAACTCAAAAATGTTTTTACATTTTAACATATCTCATGTTGAAATGTGCCTCACAATTATTCATTTCTTTAGCTTTTCTTTTTTAGTCTTTTTTTTTTTTTTTTTTTTTTTTTTTTGAGACAGTCTTACTATGTCACCCTCTGTAGAGCATTATGGCGTCACAGCTCACAGCAACTTTAAACTCTTGGGCTTAAGCTATTCTCTTGCCTCAGCCTCCCAAGTAGCTGGGACTATAGGTGCCTACCACAATGCCCAGCTATTTTTTTGTTGCAATTGTCATTGTTTAGCTGGCCTGGGCCAGGTTCGAACTTGCCACTATTGGTGTATGTGGCTGGTGCCGTAACCACTGTGCTACAGGCACCGAGCCTCATTTTTAGTCTTTTTAAGATTTTAACCTTTATTTCATAAGCAATACACATGGAAGCAAAATTTTCATGTTCATGGGATACCATAGTCAGGAAGAAAAATTAGTCTCCTTTCCTAAAATTAGCCAAATATTTTCCACTTTGCCTAATCCTAAACATTGAGCACTTCCCATAAGCCTGGACTCCTCAGCAAAGACAATTTTATTCTTGAGTTTTGCCATGCTAAGATTGGAGGATGTGTCACAAGCTTTTTGAATGTGATAATTATTTAATATAACTACTGCTTTTTTCATTATGAAAGAACAAGTGTAGCCTGGGTAAACTCAGTAATCTTTTGATTTCTTCCTTTAAATACCTCTTGTGTTTTTAACCTGGCTTTGCAGCTATGCATGCAGGCTTTGCATGCATAACTGTGTGTCCACAGAAAATATCTGACATTGTTTTATGTGTTGTTGGGTTTTCATATAACTTGCTTTTCCCCCCTATATAACAGTGTGTCTTGGAGATGTTTCCATATCAGTTTACAAAGATTTTGTTCTGTAAATGAGGATAATAGCATTATCCCACCAATAAGGTCTTGGTGAGGACAGAACAAGTCTCAAAAAAATATTACTTTGGGGCCAGGCACTGAAGCTCATCTTGTAATCCTGAGAGGCCGAGACAGGTGGATTGCCTGAGCTCAGGAATTTGAGACCAGCCTGAGAAAAAGTGAGAGCCTGTCTCTACTAAAAATAGAAAAACTAGCTGGGTATCATAGTGAGTGCCTGTAGTCCCAGCTACTCAGGATGCTGAGGTAAGAGGGTCACGTGAGCCCAGGATTTTGAGGTTCCTATGAGGTGTTATGCCACCTGGCACTCTACCCAGAGTGACAGAGTAAAACTTTATTCCAAAAAGAAAAAGTTACTTACGGGTGGCACCTGTGGTTCAAAGGAGTAAGGTGCCGGTCCCATATGCTGGAGGTGATGGGTTCAAACCCAGCCCCAGCCAAAAAAAAAAAAAGAAAAAGTTACTTAATTCATAATGATTCTGTCTTTGCTATGTTAACCCCATCATTTTGTAGGGGTATTACAGAAAACCCTGTGGGATAGGGGTTGTCAGGAGGAAGTGTGGATTCTCAGCAGAGTTGGCAGCTTGTTGCCCTTCCAGGATTTGTACCATATACTCCCAGTGACTGGATGCTTCAAGGTTATAGGCAATGAGATGAGTTTCCCCACTTCAGTCATCCTTTGTTTTCCCTCCAAATAAACCAAAATACATTTAGTAGTGTGTGTGGGGGGGGGGAGGTCTTTGGGGAGAGATCATCCTGAGTTAAATCATGACTGTTCCACTTACAAGTTAAACTCAGGCCCCTCCCAAGGGGTTTGAGGCTCCCAAATAATCACTATGGGGAAATAATCCAAATATCTGCCAGTTGGGGGATGGCCACATAAACTAGATAAATTCATATAGTATTCCTGGAGTAAATTCTTTTGTGGGATGATCCTTACTGACAGGATTCTCTCTCTGCCTTCTGGGTTGCAGCTGATGGGCCCCTGGGACAGAACAATAGATCAGCTGCCTATAAGTGGTCTTATTGTGGAGTCTTGTTCAACAGGAGATCCGTGATCTGGAATGTCTTGTTTGGGTATTCATGGGTCTGCATCCAGCCAATTGATGCGCTTTCATTTCACTCATTTTCATTTTAATGCATTACTAGCATTAAGACATTAGGACAGTTTACATTTACAAGCATCACCTTTCCTTCAGTCTTCCCAAACCAACATTCCTAGAGCATCTGGTATGTAACAAGAAGTGTTCTAGGTGCTAAGGCTCAGAAGCAAATTAGAAATGCACAGTACCAGTGTTCGCAGCCACGGCACTACCGTCTCTGCCTAATACCAGCGCAGCCTCTAGCTTGCTGAGCTCCAGCCAAATGAGGGGAGTAAGAAGGTCTTTATACCATAGCTCATACAAAGCAGATTGCCGGCAGATCCACCTATGGTAAAGCACCCAGGAAACAACTGGCTACAAAAGCCGCTCGCAAGAGTGCGCCCTCTACTGGAAGGGTGAAGAAACGTCATCGCTACAGGCCTGGTACTGTGGTGCTCAGTGAAATTAGATGTTATCAGAAGTCCGCTGAACTTCTGATTCGCAAACTTTCTTTCCAGCATCTAGTGCGAGAAATTGCTCAGGACTTTAAGACAGATCTACACTTCCAGAGCGCACCTATTGGTGCTTTGC